TCTGAGCAATTCAGCAAGAAGCCGGGGTCGTCCTTTCATTTCCCAAGGGGCGCCGGTGCCTTTTTGATTCGGACCTTCCATGTTTTGGCCTGCAGGCTTTCTTGCTGCTTTGCATCGTGATTGGCACTGTGCCGCTGGTGGGAGGCTGCTTAGCTGTTTGGAGCTTCGCTTTTCGTCTGGGATCTGTTTTGAGTTCACTTTCCAAAAGTGGACAATGCTTTTTGATGAAGCTCTTACGCCTTCAGCCCTTGCTAGCCGCTTGCAAGCGGCAAGCAGATGATGCCCTCCCACTCAGTTTTTCCCTGCAGTTGCCATTTCCATTTTCAAACGAGATTAAGCCCTTCAAGCTTGGCGTTTTCACCGGCCAGAACGGAGCGACTGATTCCCCAAGTCCCCAAGTTGCGAGAAACCGGGCAGACTATGGTGATAAAACGGGGTTTCCTGGTTCCCTGCTTGCAAAACAAGATGAAAGGTGCAACATGGGTTCTCCCCATTTCAGGGGACACCCACACAGGATGTAAGGTGCTTGTCTAACGCAGGACCTCCACGGCCGTGTTTGTTTTGAGGGGAAGCCGGGTGCACCCCCCAAGGGTAACCGGCTGGTGTTTGTCTTGGTGATAGTTTCTTTGTTTTGACCTTTGGGCTTTTTTGAAGTCAGCTGGGGCCATTTCTTTGCTTTGACCCGACCCCATGGGCCCGGCCGGTCTGGCCGGCGGAATCCGTGTTCCATGGTCAAAGGGACATGCTCCTAGAACCAGGAACATCAGGGAACCCCCCAGCCCGAGTGAAGCCTAAAGCGAAGAGGTGAAACCCAAGAATTAGGGCCATCCGTGGCAGGGTCGCAAAGCCACAAGCCATCTTCAAGGGAACTAGCCATGAAAGCTTGGTCGCAAAACCCCCAGCTGAGGCTCCAGAGCATTTGCACTGACAAACATCACAGAAGCTTACCTCTTAAAAACACAACTTTTCGTAACTGTTTGGGGGTAACATGGGCTATATGTCTGTAAAAGGTTAACTTCCCCAATCCTTGGAGTTTTAAGGGGTAAGGAAGCCCAGTAGCCCCGGAGCCCAGTGGAACCAACCCAGAGCCTATCTTGGTCTATCGGCCACCGATAGCCAACAAGCATAGCCTTCAGTGGGGAATGCAGCAAGGAAACAGACAGCTTTGAGAGGAAGCCCGTGCAACACTGGCTTCGAGCCGAGTGAGACTTTTTCAAGGAAGCGGACGACGAGTCTTTCCTGCCTTCCCGACGAGTCCATGGTTGGAGTTGGACGCACTCAACTTGGCTCTCAAACAGCTTTGGGTTCTGTTCCGGGTTTCGTTTTACCTTGACAGGCCACTCTCTTTCTAGTATTTCACACAAAACTACACCGGACCGGCCTGTGTCAACCTGCCGGCCCATCTTTCTGTTCGTTTCAACCATTTTAGGGGACCAACTCCTCTCAAGGAGAAGCACTGATTTCCTGCTTGCATTTCCGCAGTTTATTAGGTCTACCCATTTTGGGACTATCATTTTTTGAGACAGGCCCATTCTAAGGTGCTTCTTGGTTCCCCTTTATGGGGTAAGGTCCATCCATTTTGGGGCGAATCTTCATCCTAAGGCTTGCTTCTTGGTTCTTTGTGCATCAATTCTCCATATATATGTATATATATATATTTTTTTTTTTCGGCTCCTTCGCTACCAAAAAACGCGGAGGCTCCTTGTTCTTTCTGGCGGGCCCCGTGTGCGTGGCCCTGGGCGGCGCGCTCTTGGCGGCCGGGGTCTACGAGCTGCAGGGGGATTTGACGCCTTGGACGGTGCCGCCTGCTGAGAGCCTCGACCAGCAAAACGGAGAAATGGCTTGGATGGGGGCACTCGTTTTATTCAACTGGTGGATTTCCAATTGGTTAGCGGGCAGCTTCTTGTTTCCAGCGATTTCACCTTGTACAGACCGTTTTCTTTGCCTCACAGCAACCTAGGTCAAGCTCTAGCAGTCTTGGTGGTTTTCGGAATTTCCCACTGAGAGATCGGGGCACTCTACTTTTTGACAGAGACGACTTAAACCCAGGGATGTGGTTCACCCCCCAAAAGGGAGAACTTCTGGGTTTAAGTCTAGCTTGGAATAATCAAACCGTAGAACTATTCTCCTTTTTTTTTTTGGGGGGGGGGTGAACATGCCGGTTTGATAGGCAGGAATTAGAAATGGAATGACCCCCATTAACCATCCAACTGGTGGATTTCTTTCAGGGAATTTCAGTTTCATTCCCACCACCCTGGGTCATTCCCTACTGAGCACCAGCAAGTTGAGGGGAAACCAAAAGAACAAATATCGTTTGTTCAGACCTTTTAGTACTCCTTGCGGATAGGAGACCCCTGATGATTTTTACGTCCTTTTTGTTCAGACCGGTGCCATCCATGAGCAAAGCCGGGGTTTGCTGCAAGGCACCCCTTCTTCATACCAACTGGGCTCCAATTTCCCCCCAGTCCTCTTGGGGCAGCAGGCGGCCTTTTTCCTTTTGGTTTCTCATTGGAAACCAAAGTTCGCATGGGAGACTCCCCAACATGGGCACTCTGTTTCCCAAAGGGATGTTCGCCGGAGTGCAAGTAAAAGGGAAAGACGCGTGACGAGTTGATCAGCCTTCAGCGCACCAGTTCACACAATAAATGTCAAGCTTTCATGGAGGCAGGCGGGCATTTTCAGTATTTTTGGGTTTCCCAAAGCTTGGGCTCCTCTCTTTAAGCTGGGTTCATGGGCCCCGAGGAAAGCCACACATCAGGCGGCGTCTTTCGCTTTCCAGGTGGCGAACATGGCCAATATGAAGCACTGCTTAGATGGTTTGAGCCGAATGGCTCAGTGGCTAAGTCCCCTGGGTTGCTAAGCAATCAACTCGCCCTCCGGCCATGGAAGTGCAACGCCTTTCCGCTTCGAAGCCGGCTTTCAACGTCGTTTTTTTTCTTCCCCCCATCGAGGTGAACTTCTCTTGGAAGGAACGATGGTCTGGGAGCAATAATTTGGTGGGAACTATGCAAACCTTTGCCCATTCCTCCGTGCGAAGGGGCAATGACACCGCCCTAAAATGTGAGCATCTGATGTCCGAGTCGGCAAGGTGTACCCCAGACCTCCCTTTTAAGCCAGACAAAGCTCGTAGCGTCTACCAGCTCCACACCATGTGGAAATTCCCTGGCCGCTGGGGTTGGTCCCCTTCAGCTGCCTTCAGAACTTCAGCTCGGTTCTTTTCGCCTGAGGGCGCAGCTGAAGACGGGGGGCGTCTACGAGTACGTGCGCCATCCCTTGTACGGCGGGGCTTCGCGGCGGTTCTTGGCAGTTTTTTGTTCTTCCTTTTTTGCTTTTGTTTCTCTGGCTTTCCCCTTTTTTGTTCCTTTTTTTGGGGGCTTGCATGTGGGCAAGGGTGGGAGGCTTGAACGTGTTTTTCAGCTGCTTGCTGCATTGCCTTTTGGTGTTCACTTTTGGCCGGGGGAGTTTCAAAGAGCACCGCTTCTTTCTGATCTAGGGGGCAAGAATCGAAAGCGATGATAATTCGATTCGCTTCTTTCTGCCTCGCGTGGGGAGTCCAGCGAGGGGGCAGGGGGCAGGGGAGTCCAGACAGTCACTTTGTTTTGCTCCAGGTAGCTTTGGCTTCCTCGACGCCCCTGCAGTGGGTACCACTTTTCTTTCCCCCTTCTCACGGCATGTGCCATGGACCCACCCACCGCGGCATTGGCAGGGACGGTGAGCCACATCCACAGGAGTTCTATGCACGGCACTGTCAAAGGCCCTCTGATGTGACTTGCCCATGACCGAACAACTGGGTAGAGAGCCCCCTTTCAGGGATCCAGAACTGGCGATGGGCTCATGGGCTCATGGCCTCAAACCACAAAACCAGCGAATCGCACCTCCAAACCGAGCAATGATGGAAGCTGATTGACATCAGGTCCCCCAGTAGTGCCCTTCTCTCCCCCTTTTTTGGTTGGGAGGGTCCCCCTGCTAAAATAGACTACTGAAAGAAACAAAAACAACAACATCGAGTACCTCTCTACTGGAGGACCTAGAATCTGACTGAACATGGCACAGTTGGACAGGTGGCCTCCTGCTGTTGTGCTTCGGCTTGGCCATCGTCAGCAACAGCCTGGGGCCGAGGGGTGAAGTAAATCGATCACCAACCCCTCTCCCAACCCCCCCAGCCTCCCCAACCCCCCCAACCTCCCCAACCCGCCCCTCCCCCCCTTGGCGGTGTGTCGGAGGAAACTAGGGAGGATGGAGAAGCTGATTTGTTTTGTTTTGTTTTTGGTTTTGTGCCTGTTCCAAGTCGAATAACAGTCCGCCAATTGTCTCATGCCTAACGTGTAGCCATCTCGACTCAAGTTGCCAGTTGCATTGCCAGTTCCCTGTTCCCTCGCAATGTCTCGCATGCAGCAGGCCCAGGAGGCCCAGGAGGGGAAGATGAGAACAGTTATATTGGGTATGGGTCAAGCTTGAAGGTCCAGGAATTGGATCGCAGTTTTTGGTCCATCCATTTGTCAGTGTTGCGTTAGTAGCAACACCCTGAGATCCAGCGACCGGTGCTCTCTTTTTTTTGCAGGGTCGTCGTGCGCATAGGTGTCCTTTGTAGGTTAGATAGGGTTCAAGATAAATGGCACGGGTTTAGATGGGGTTTATTCCGTTTCACAGGGCCATCAATTTTGACAGAAGGTTGAAGGTACCTATGGTCGTGCGTGACTGTTTCCAAGCAGTAGAACCGTTTTCTGACTTTTTGCTGGGGGATGAGACTGTTGGACCTACCCAAGGAGCCACCCAAGGAAAAGACCTCGTTCTGGCGAAGGATGCGCGGTTCCAGCGGCAAATCAGAGAAGACTGCCAAAGCGCAGGTGAACGCTTCGACTGCAAAGGACAGCGGCCCCACCCTCCTGCAAAGCATGAAGCAGGAAGCTGCCACCGCGCAGGAGAAGACGGTGGAGGGCTACGAGGCTGCCAAGGAGCAGGTTAAGGCTGCCACCCAGGAGTCTTCTTCGTCCGGTCCTTCAATGATGGACGAGATGAAGCAGGGAGCCACGACCGCGCAGGAGAAGACGGTGGAGGGCTACGAGGCTGCCAAGGAACAGGTTAAGGCTGCCACCCAGGAGTCTTCTTCGTCCGGTCCTTCAATGATGGACCAGATGAAGCAGGGAGCCGCCGCCGCACAGGAGAAGACGGTGGAGGGCTACGAGGCTGCCAAGGAGCAGGTTAAGGCTGCCACCCAGGAGTCTTCTTCATCCGGTCCTGCAATGATGGACCAGATGAAGCAGGGAGCCGCCACCGCGCAGGAGGAGACGGTGGAGGGCTACGAGGCTGCCAAGGGGCAGGTTAAGGCTGCCACCCAGGAGTCTTCTTCGTCCGGTCCTTCAATCACGGACGAGATGAAGCAGGGAGCCGCCACCGCGCAGGAGAAGACGGTGGAGGGCTACGAGGCTGCCAAGGGGCAGGTTAAGGCTGCCACCCAGGAGTCTTCTTCGTCCGGTCCTTCAATCACGGACCAGATGAAGCAGGGAGCCGCGACCGCACAGGAGAAGACGGTGGAGGGCTACGAGGCTGCCAAGGAGCAGGATAAGGCTGCCACCCAGGAGTCTTCTTCATCCGCTCCTTCTTTGATGGACCAAATGAAGCTGGGGGCAGCTTGGGTTCAAGAGAAGACGGTGGAGGGCTACGAAGCTTCAAAGGCTGCTCTTTACGAGCCGTCTTCTGATGGTGGCCCCTCCTTGATGGACCGGATGAAGCAAGGAGCGACTTGGGCGCAAGAGAAGACAGTAGATGGCTATGAAGCTGCGAAGGCTGCTGTTTACGAGCCGTCCTCCGATGGTGGCCCCTCCATCATGGACAGGATGAAACATTGCCAGACTTAGCTTTCTTTTTTGCTCCTTGGCATGTTTTTGGTTTTTTACAAGCAAACAGTGGGCATTTCGCAGGTGATTCTTAGGCACCTGGCCTAGGAAGCAAGGAGCCACCTGGGCACAAGAGAAGACGGTGCAGGGCTACGAAGCAGCCAAGGAGCAGGTAGCTGCTGCGTCGTCGTCCGGAAGGATGGCGGGTTCGGTGGTTGGCCCTGGTTGATTTTGAACAGGGTCCGGCATCCAGTTTTTTTTTTGGACAGCGTTTCCGGTAACAGTCAACCAGCAGACAAGAATTGGTTCGGAGCAGCGTTCAGGCTAGGGTTCAAAGAGGAGGGGGTTCCAGTAAATTCCAGGGCTGTTAGGGATACTACCTGACCTTTTGGATTGGTTTGTTTTTGCCCTCCAGAAGGTGATTCAGATGATTTTTGGGCATCCGTTGCACCATCTCTTTAGCTTGTCATTTTCAGAGCCTGGGCTGGTTTCCCTACCTTTTCCTTTGCCAATGGAACTCCGGCAGCGTCAAACGCGTCAAACGCGCTGGGCCGTCTCCCGCGCGTCCTCCCGCAGCCGGGAGGACGGGGAGCGCGGAGACCGGGGAGGAGATGGCGGGCTTTTGGGCACAGATGAGCCACGGCTGCGCCGCGGGCTATGAGGATGGGCGGGTCACGGGTGGCTTCCATTTGTTTTAAGTCTTTTGTCGTTTTTGTTTTCACCTGTTGGTCTTAAAGGGAATCTATCACTACTGGATATATTTTTTTGTTCCCCCCCAGGGGTCTTAACCAAATGGAAGGTGGTCCCAGGGTTTCACTTAGGTTATGAGAACCCCCCAGGTTAATCAACCCCATCTAATTCATATGGAGGTGGGGGCTCCTCAAGACTTCAAAAAATATGGTACGTTAGGAGAAACCCCCCGATGAATCAGAATCAACCCCAGCTTATTCATGGGGGGGGTTCCCCCAGGTTATATGAGAAAACCTCAGGCCCGTAAACTGTCTGCAACAGAAAAAACACCGTCTCAAGTTGGACCTTTTCGGTTATGTTGACCGCAGATGAATCAACCCCAGCTTATTAAGGGGTTGGGGGCCCCTCCAAAGACTGATCCTTGCTGGTGCGAGAGATGCAGGGAATGAGAAATGGAAGGACCCCCAGAAAAACAATCTAACTGGTGGATTCCTTTAAAGGGACCAAAGCCTCAGTTTCCTTCCCACATTCCCGACCAGCAAGCTTGGTTTCCTTTCAAAGGTACCTTTGGGTTTTCTCTTTTGACGTTTGTTTTTTTGGTTCCCGTTTTGGTGTTTCCGTTTTGGTGGGGTTCTAACACTCATGTTGCAGGACACGCGGGAGTTTGTGGTTGGGGCCTGCCGAGCCAAGCCGCTGGAAAACGAGCAGCTGGAAGTGGCACAGGCCGGGAGTGGGTGGGGGGGTGCTATGCCGAGTTCCTAAGCCCCAAACGCCCCAAATTGCAGCAGGGCAAGGTCACCATAAAACGGGTGCTGGAAGAAATCCATTTTTTTGTCTAACCCATTTTTGGGGTAAGCCCATGTTTTGATGGCGAGGCGCCGCGTTGGGTGGGTGGTGGGAGACGGGGTTTGGGGTTGAGCAAGGGGAACATCTGGGTTTTCGGGCTGGGGGGAGGTCGGACGTCCGACCGATCAAAGGGTCGCCGATTTGATCCCTTTGGGTGGAATCTAAAAGTCCCAGCCTGCAAAGGACGGCTCTGGCAGGTGGAGCCTTTTCTTCCATTTGCTGAAGCAAATATGTTTTCTTTTCCCATTTTGGTTTCAAAGGGAATCTATCACTACGTGGCATATTTGCATTTTTTTTTACCAGGGGTCTTAGCCAAATGGGATTAGAGGGAACAACTCAACCCTGGCGCCCTTTCACGATTTGGGGCCTTGGTGCTCTTTTCCCCTACGTGACAAAAGGGGACGCAGGTGCCACAGGGATGCGAGTCTCATTTCGGGCCCGGTAGGGCTCAGATTTGAATCACTGACTGGGTTCCAGTCTTTCATAGCTTCGTTCAATGTACTGCAAGCTGCCAGGTTGCGGGTATTTTTTCTTTTTTTCTTGCGATAGTGAGGGCATCCATTTTTACCGGTTTCTTCGTCATCTTGGTCAAGGCCGAGCAAGGTTCTGGCCAATCAACTCGGGTCAGCAAGAAGAAGAGCCAAGCGAAAGGAAAGCGAGGGAACCCACAGAACCCAACTTGTTTAAAGATGTTCAGACAACTCTTCTTTATACAACCTCCTGCCAAACTCTTTTTCAAGGGTCCGGGTCTTACAGGCGAAGGCAGAAGAGGGCTACGAGGCTACCAAGACCTTGGTAACCCAGCCGGTCCAGCAGTCTGGCAAGTTTGGCGCTTCGGTCTGCACAGCATCCTTTTTTGGTGGGGGACCCATTTTTTCCATCCACACACCTTCTTTTCGACCCCATTTTATCTTTGGTTTATGGGTCCAAAAGACCGGTTGGGGATCAAGAAGGGGGGTCCCCCTAGCGTTTCTTTTTCTTTTGTTTGGAGGTTCTAAGAGTTTTTTTATTGCACCTGGGAATACGCCCACTGGGTGTTGACCCCATTTAGGCACATTTCCAGATAAAACCGTATTATTTGAACTCATTCTGAGTTATTTCCCAAGGGTGTAATCCCAGAGTGTAATACAAAAACCCTCAGAGAGGTGTTGGTCAACTCAGGTCGGTGTTGGGCTTTTTGCTTGGGGTGTTCCCCTTTAAAATGGTTTTGTGGAGTTGTGTCCATGAATTCTTACCGACTTTGGGGTCGACCTCGGCAACTCTTCATGTCGAACGGATAATTCCCCAACAGCTGAACGTCATGGGCTGCTGTGCCCAAACAAAGGTTCCAGAGTGGTTCGGAGCTGACCAGCATATTTTGCCTTAAACTTATCCATCCAACAAGGAGGTGTGCATGGTTCCTCTGGCAAACCAAGCAAGGCGGATCTTGAGTGAGCTTGGCTCGGAGTTTTGAGTTGCGGGCCTTTCCGAAAGCCATCGCAATTCTGGAGGCGTTTTCGGATGATTGGCATGATCCTTGAAGCACTGGCAGTTAGACTCCAATCAAGAGGCTCTTGACCGTTTGATGTCCCAATTTTGAGCATGTTGTGGCCAGTGTTAAGGGGGAAACCGTAAACCTTTTGCTTCAGGCTCTTTGATGCAAAGGAGATCGGCCAGTCGTCCGCTGTTGCTTCAAAATGGGCGGCAGTTTCGAAAGCGCCACCAGCTTATGTGGATTGCAATGAGCCTTCCCAAGTTCGTGCGCAGTGCCGACCTAGCTCTTCGAAGCTGTGCTATGGCAGCCTTGTTGTCAAGATCAGGTGCGTTTGGACACGGGGAGCTCAAAATTCGATTGCTTCACAGCCTCCACGAATTTATACGCATGTTTGAACATGACGGGCTAAAGCGTGTCAGAAGCATACGCCGAAGTGTGTGTGCCGGTACAGTTGCCAAAAATAGGGCGGCGCTGACAGCAACTCAACGGAAGAGCGAGGAGGAGAAGGAGGAAGAATAAGAACAAGAGAGGAGGCGTAAGAAGCAGGAGCAGAAGTGTAGAAGTTGTAGAAGGTCCCATGGTTGTCAGGGGCCCAGGAGATTCCTGGAAATGGTACCCTGTTGGCCTTCCAATAGACCCTATGAGTCGCTATTCGTCCCTATGGCAGCCACAGGAGAAGAGGGAAGAATAACGTCGAAGACCCCGGGTCCAATTACTTTTTTTTGTTGGATGCCTTGGGAAGTCCGTCTATGCAGAGCCAGGCCTTGTGGATTTTGGCAAAGCCCCAAGAGTGTGAAGATAGTTTGGGCCCGCAGGACACGAGGTTTCATGTAACAGGGACAAGGGACAACATCGGCCGCCCCAGCAAGGGATGTTCTTTGACCACCTTCAGCCTTTGAGGGGTTGGGGGCTGTCGGTATCCTCGGAAACCCGGCAAATTCATGTCAACTTTCCGTCATTCTGCGCCTTTTGAAGGACAGTTTCCTGTTGAAGTTGGGGTGGTTCTTACAGGATAGGTCGTTGTTCAACCCGGAGAGTGCAGTCTGAACTGTGGCCATCGCAGATAGGCAGGACTGTAGCGCATGCCTCTTTGACACGGGTGTTTCCATGGCGAACCTTAAAGAGACGCCAAAAGGTGACTGCCTCCCCCCTCCCTCCCCCCAGCTCCCATATAACCAACAGTCTCTCACGTCATGGAACCCAAGGGTATGCTGCCGGAGTTTGCTGGGTTCCATGTCGGGAAGGCAAAAAAAAGGACCCTAAGGCGTGATAACCAGGTGGCCTTTGAGGGGCACATTTCGCGTCAAGCATCACCCTTACCAGCGGAGTTTTTCGCGGATTGGGCCCCCAAAAAAGTGCACAGCCGGCGAACATCATCTTTACCAGCTATGGGTATGCGTCAAAATCAAACCACCTGGAATTGGACCGCATGTTTTAGACCATGATTCCATTTACCAGGGCAAGCCATGTTGGGTACCTCCTATTTTTGACCCACAGCCAGCTGAAGGAGGATTCCCCAGCAGCGGGTGGCTTTTGGGGTGTATCTTCAAGGATTTCTGTTTGATCCTTGTCCTGTGGCACCCTTTGGCACCTGCTGGAAATGGCCAGCCCGAACTTGCGGCAGTTTAACTGACTGCGAGGAAAAATCGGACACAAGAGAACAAATTACTCCCCTGCAAATTAACATGGATCCCAAACAGGGGTCCCCCGAAAAGGAGTTGCCTCTACAAATATGGTTTTCCTGTTGCATGCTAATATCTGTAGGCGAGTACTGTTTAAAAGAACGTCTGCAGACCCCCTTCTTCTTCTGGACCCAGCCATGGGAGGAATTCGGGGGAGTTCTGTGCGGGAGCGAGGCGCGAGTCGTTTGGTGCTGACGCTGGCCCTCTACTTCGTCCTTGACAAAAAGGCGGACAACGAGGAGGAGACTCGAGCCCCCCTACTTCTGGCAAAGACTGGGTGTGTGTCTCCTCAACCCTCTCCCCCCAAAAAAAACATACACAATCAAAAAGGAGAAGGGAAAAGAAGAACGATAGACGGGGTTTCCCTTTTGAGCACTGGAAAAAGACACCCAAACTCACATTTGGATTGCATGGCTGATTTGGATGCAGGAGGTCTTGCAGAAGAAGTTCAGCAGCTACGGTGCCTCAGCCTTTGAAGCGGGGAGATGTTTAGATGGTCCTTGGCTTCGCTAAATGGTTAGTAGTCCCGTTCGGCATAGTTCTTCACTTGCCATTGTTGTAAGTTCCCGTTCGGCAGTTTATCACAGGGTTGCCCCGGACCATCTAAGTGGGGTTCCTGGCTCAACCGATCAAGCCTTGGAGCTTTTCAGGGATCCGCCGAGCGGCACGAGCAAAAGAAGAGGCTACCCTTCTACTAAGAAATGGGGTTGCTTTACGAGGCTTCCGGGAGTTTTGCAGGACATGGTAGGCGCACAGCTGCCCCTTTTCCAAAGGAAATGATAATCCGGTTTCCTGGCCTCCATGTTTCCTTTTTGGTTTATGGACGTGTATGGGCCCCAAAGCCAGACCAAGTTGGGGGCAGAAACAGAATAATGGAAAAAGAAACGGGGCTTCTTTTGCGCCCCAAGCCCCCATCATTTGTGGTTTGGTTGAGGTCCGGAGCACCCCTGTTCCTTGGTAACTCACATGCCAGGGAAGTGAAGCAGAGGGCAAAACCAAATCAAGCCATGAGGGCAATCTTAGTTGAGCAACTGCACCAAAGATCCAATGAGGGTGCCCAAACAAGGCCTCTTTTTTTGGGCTGAACGTCAACCGAGGAATGGTCTTGTTGATTAATGAAGTTCACAGCGAGATTCGGAGCAGACGGCTTTCGGGGCTTGGCAGGTTCACAAGTGCTCAGATTCCATCCTGACCCCACCACGGAACGGGTTTTCCAATCTCAAGAAAGGGTTCCACTTGTTTCTTGTTTGGATTCGGAGTGCAAGGTGGTCAACTCATTCCGTGGTATTATTTTCCCTTGGCGGTACTAGTTTGGGGTCGGTGGAAAACATCTTGTATGGCGAGCACTTGGCCTATGTTGAGGGTGGTGGTTGGGGTCTATAAGTTCCTGTTTCCCCCTTTGTGCTAAATAGCCTGTCGCTTTGACTTTCCACAAGGAGGCCAAAAGCGGATGGGTCGTTCTCTCCTTTTTCCAAAAGAAGTGTTTGTTTCAGGTTTTCAGGTTTTCCATACTGGCTAATCCTCTCATGCTCTCATTTTTCCACACCCCGAGGTATGCAGCGTAGAGTTCTAGGTGTTCAGGTTTTCAGTCTGAGGTGGGTACGCGTCCAAGACCAAGGGCAAGCTACTGCCGGACCTGGACAAGCTCCTCGCGAGCGGCGGGAGCAAAACGCCTCCTATCGTGGACGTCTGAGCGGGGATGCGCGGCTGTGGGCTGAGGAGCCGAGGGTTGTTTTTGGGTCTTGGTTTGGGTCTCCCTCTTTTTCGGGGGTGCCTTTTCTTTTAGGTTTTAAGAGGGAAGCCAGAAGGAACACAAGCATGTTGGGTCGCCTCAAAAAGACAGCCCCGTCTTCTTTTGGTTTTTGCGTTTTCTTTAGGTTAGGATGCCAGGCCTCGTTTCGCTCGAGCGCCGAAAGCAGAAAAGCGAGCGGCCGGTTCTGGACGTTGGCCTTGCGCCTAAAACCGGTTCCGCTCGGCCATGTTTGTTGGTTCTACTAGGTTACCTGGCTCAATAGTAGAGCCCATACAAACCTTCATCACCATGTTGCTAGAACCAAAAGTCACTGGGCTTTGGGCGCTTCCAATTGCACCCCGAAAAACCACTAGATGACTTTTTTGGACCTGCCGCTAAAATTGTCTTCCAACAGGGGTGGCTGTAGTCTAAGATCTCCACTACTCACAGGGACCAGTGTGTTTTCTCTCACGCAGGTGGATGCCCGAAATATTGCAAGTGGGAACATGGAACCTCCGAACTTTACCGTTGTTCAAGTGTGGTTTCAAGTAGCTCTTCATTGGCGCGGGGGATTTGAACCCCTGGTTCTTGTAGAGGGCAACTGGGACACCACGCCGTGCCCCACCCAACCCTCGATGCCACCTTGCGGGCTCCGCACCTCGCCAGGCGGCTCGCTGCCACGCGCGGATTTGGGCGACCGCCACGCTCGGAGAATGGCGCGGTCCGAAAAGCGGCCGCAGTGGGTGAAAGTCGGACGTTGTTTCCCCGTTTTTTTTCTCCTTTTTTTTTGGTTGGGGGTAGGCCGTACTGGAATCCCAGGGGTGAAGCCGCGTGGTTCCTGTGCGTCGTCTAGTTTGGAAAACCTTTTGCCGCTGTCCCCCAGAAAGTTTCGATGAGCATCCTTCGGTCAGACACCCAATGCCTTCCTGTGGTATGCGGGGGTCTTTGGTTCCCTGACTTTTAAGTCGAGGGCAAATGCTAAGGTGGCTTTTCCCACTCCTTCTTTCAAGGCCCCCTAGATTTTGGGGGGAGTGACCAATTTCTAGATGAAATACCGGGAGCTTGAGGAATACGAAGGTGACTTGTTCAGCTTTTCTCTGCAGTGGCCACTGATCAAACATATCTTTGTCGTCTTCAACCCGAAAAGGGGTGGAGTGCCCCTGGTTGAACATCTCCTGATGCTTTCGGTCAGGAGGGTTGTCCGAAAATGCCCATAGCCTTGCACGTCGCTCCATTCGGTCGCCCAGTTCCGGCTGAGGGGACCATGGCTATGGCGCTGTGAGTGCCGTTGCAAAAGCAAAAAGCAGGGCCCTTCCGCTCACGCCCCTTTTTGGCCAGTCTTTTTGCAGACAGCCGACCTGAACCATTCTCCGTTCAAGCCTTCATTCAAAACAAAACAACATGGAATCCTGCACCAGTTGGCAACTTTTCCCCACCATTCACAGGGCTTCATCCATTCGAACTGTCCGCCGTGGATTTCGTCCACGGGTTCGCGGGGTCCCGGGTGCTCAAGCCGGTCGGCAAGCCGGTCGGCAAGCCGAACCAAGGCTTGAAGGCTGGCCGCAGATGACCTCGCTGGGGGCCTGGTGAGGGTTTTCCTGGTTGTTGGCCGAAAAAAAGGGGAGGGGTCAATGGGTAATGTTTAGTTTTCCCAGACCTCTAGGGGACACTTCCCCATTCTTTCCAGGCATCCTTCTTGCCAGAAAACTATCAGAACCCCAGGCAAAACAGCGGGTTTTTCAAAAGAACGAAGGTTGAACAGAATGGGGAATCAACCCCTAGCAGACCCTATTCAGCGCCCGGGTTACCAACATTTCAGCTGGGGATATGAGCCCCTGGTTCTTGTAGAGGAACATGGGAAGCCCTCCGTTTCAGCACCAAAGCCCCAATCCAGACCTGGGTGTGGGTCAAGACTAGATACACAAAAGGGAACCCTGGTAAAAGGAAACAAGGACTAAAACCTGCGGTACATTTTCCGCGTGGTTTAATTTTGACCCATCCCCATTTTTTCATCACGGCCAGAATGCTGGGACCTTGGTGAAAAACAAGCTAACACAAATTCGCCGAGCAGACTAACACCTGGTGGTTTGAGTTTGACCCATACCCAGCCGAACAACACGCAAATCACGGCCATACTCAGGACGGAGCGGGAGGTCATGATCCACACCGTGGCCAAGATGAACCGCGCGCGGCGCGCGGCCAGGGGTTCCAGGCGCTTAGGGCTCGGATCCGATCGGAGCGCGGATGCGGAGGTCAGATCGAAGAAGCCGAAGGGTCTGGGTTGGGTTTAGGTTTATTTGGACCCAGTTGCCCAGTGGACTGCTTCCTTTTTGCGCCTTTTATTTTTTTGGAAGGGTTCCCCTTTAAAGTCAAGCAACGAAAAAAAGGGTGCCCGTTTGCTGCCCTGGCCACTGGGCATGTGAGTGGAGAATGTCCGAGTTTCTGGAAGGCTCACGGGCAGTTTGATTCTTCGGGGATGACGCTACTAAGTCACTTGCAACTTTGGGATTCTCGGAGGTCCTTCTGCATATCTCAGGCATAGTTCCCGTTCCCCTCTCTTCCCAGAACTTTGTGGGGAACTTTGGGGTCTGACCAACGGGCCGCGGTTTTTTCTTCGCAGGGCCCGCGCCTTTTGCGGCCGAGCCGAGCCCCGAATTCCCCCCAGGCAGGAGCCGCCGCCCGCGCCCGCCTGGGCCTTCCAAGACTCCGGCTACCAGCGCTCGGTGATGATCGCGGCCGAGAACGACCTGAAGAAGTGAGCCGCGGAACGAAGTGCGCTGGGAAAAAGATTTGAAAAAGGGGGTGCGGTTGGGCTTGTAGGCTTGTAGGCTTGTAGGGTTTAATTAGGGGGTTGGGTTGGGGAACGGAAGGTGTAAACTGCACTTCTTGCCGGTACCCAGTAGGCAATGCGGGAATGAACCGTTTCGGGGGCTTCCTTGAAGGAACCCAGCAGTTGGATGGTTTTTCTTCGGGCTCATGAGCCAGAACTCTCATTCCCCGATCGCATCTGGTCGACGGTCATGAGGTAGAAGAGCCGCTGGGAGCTCCGAGCCTCCAGTGTGGTGTTTCTCAGCTCTTTGAAGCCAGCAGGCCCTTTGCCCAGACCGTGTCCCAGCATAGGTGTCCTTAGGATAGATGGGGGTTAGAAATGGGTTTTGTTCCATGTAACAGGGCCATCTGCTTTTTCAAAAGGCACCTAGGACATGCGTGACTGTTTCCAAGCCACAGAACAGTTCGACTTTCTGCTGGGGTCGAGACTGTTGCGCCTACCCAGGGAGCCAGCCAAAAAACGAGACCGATCACCTATGCTCAGGAGTTTGTTCCCTTTGGTGCATTTTGCCAAGGGATGTTAGGACTTTAACTTTTTGCCAACTAATCGGTTTTCCGTATTAAACCACTAGAAGTTAGTCACTCTTAGCAGGGGAGCAGAAAGCAACCGAGTATTACTGTTTTTTTTTTGGGGGGGGGGTGGGGCGCGAGGGGGGGGGGTTCTTCTTTTTCATCCTTTTTCCTCCGGGGAAAAAAAACAGGTTCCATCTGCTTTCACCCTGGAAACCGGGGGTCCGGCCGTGAGGGTGGTAGGCAGGAGCCCCTCTTCGATTACATTGAACAAGTCGCGGCAGGTGATGGGCCGCCGGGCTCCAAAGCCCCGGGCCACGTGGGGGACCTTGGGCGGATCGCTGGGGACATGGGGTGGGGTGGGCTGCTTCCATGTGCTGAAATGAATATCTTCTTTCCCCTGGTGGTTTGAAAGGGAACCGATTTCACTACTGGAAATATTTTGTTTTTCTGCAGGGGTCGAACAACCAAATGGAAGGCTGTGGCTCAAAGACATGTACACCAATGGTCCCTTGGAACCAAAGACTAGAGCCTGCGTAACTCTAGCCTTGTATATGGCGAGGGCCTAAAGACTTAGAATGTCTTCCCTATGTTGAGGGTCTCGTAAAAGGCCGCCTCCCCCCCCCCCCCCTAAATTCCCAAATTCCCAGCAGCGCCTTGAGGGCTGGGAGCTGGATTTCCGTGAAAGGGCCCTTGGGAACTTGAGGGGGCTTGAAAGGTGAATGAAGACCTGACATAGATGATGCGCCGTAAGTTGTCCAATTAGCCCCTTGCGTTATGGTTGACTTCCATTTTTTTTTAAAATCCCCTTTTGGTTTTAAAGGGAACCTATCACTATTGACATATTTTTATTTGTTCCAGGGTCTTAACTAAATGGAAGTTGAAGTCATTCCTGGAAGTACCCGCATGGAGTCTTGGACCATAGAGGCGTGAGGCGCGGGAAACGCGGGGAGCATGTGGGCGCGCTTCATGGCATGAACGTTTAAAGGGTTGATTTGGCTGTTCAAAAATGTCTACCCAATTCCTGGTGGTTTCGTTTTGACCCATACCCATTTGGGTGTGGCTCAAAATTGAACAGGAGGGGTTACGCAGGCTTCGGTCCATGTTTCCACTTACCAGGTTGATATTGTTTTTCGACCCATGCCCATTTATTTGCCATTCTCACCCGCTGTTCTCTTCAGAGCCCGTTTCAACCTGGAGCTCGGACAGGCCACTCGATAAATGTTTCAGAGAAGTCGAGAGACTATCTTCCCTTTTCTGAAAGGGAAATTTTCCCTTGCTGGTTTTAAAGGGAATCTATCACTACTGGAAAGGTTGTTTGTTGAATTATGTTTTCCAGGGGTATTAACCAAATGGAAGTAAGGTAACCCTGGTTTGCCGGCTTTGCTAACCCAAAAAGGGACAGGTCTTTGCAGGCAGTCAATGGAAGTGGACGATCAGCAAAGGAAGACTACCACCCTCTGAAAAGGTTGTCCACATGGCTCAAGTGGTTGGTGGGCATGATTCTCCACCGAAATAGATGTCCACCAAAGGGCCCCCCCAATAAGAAATCACAATGGTTGCCCTGGAATGGAATTTTGTACCGCAGTGTATGCCCCAGTGGTATTTCTCACCTGGAAATGCCCGACGCTTCGCCCCGAAGCACGGTTTACTTTGGCTCGGGAGATGGCTGGACGTGACTCGGATAACCAAATAAG